TCTTCACCACCAAGCTAAGAAGAATGAAACCAAGGCTCAGAAAACCTGAAAACTGGTACCAGAGATAGATTGTTCCATCGTTGGTCTGCTAATTTATCTGCTGACCCTCAAGGCACACATTTCTGAGAATTGCAGAATTGAATGTCTTGGGTTTCCTGATTCCAGAGACCAGCACTCTGGGTACTCAAAGTAAAATGTTTACCCACAAGGCTTCCATATCAGAACACTTGCAGGTCACTTGTGTCATTGAGCTTGTGAGTGATGCTTGTCAGTGGTCCTGTCTTTGCTGTTCTAAGCATCCAGAAACAGTGCCTGTGAGCTGCTAGTGTGACTGGTGGCATTGGCCATATGCTCCTGTAGAAGAAGGTGCCCTGTTAACCAATGCCACCTTCCCTCTATGGGCCAAGTGTGTCTAGCATCTTCTTCAACATGTGACCCACATCTGATCTTACTAACAGTGGTATGAGTTTACTTTCCCAGACTTGAACCAGGGGCTAAGGTAGCAGCAGTGATTTAAAGTTAGATCAATTAAACTAGACTAGATCTTCTCTCCTCTAGCCTTACTACCCCAAGTATCATCTATTCAATGTGTGTGAGACAACTGGCTCATTGCCATGTTCAGTGGACAGGGAATCAGAGAGGCTAAGAGGCGCCCTCAGCAGGATCCAGGCCCTGCCATCTGTTGTCTGGTGAGACTGATAGTACAGTACAGTCCATTCCCACATGTGACCTTGGCCTGTTCCACATACATCCCTTACCATTTCAGAACACTGTCTTGTATGAAGTGATTGTATGAAGTGACTACCAAGCTCCTTTGGACTTGAGATAGACTGCCAATCAAGTGTGGCATGGTCCTTCAGATAAAACTACAGATGCAGCTGGGTGTGGTGGCACATGCCTTTAATCCCAGCACTTGGGAGGCAGAGGCAGGTAAATCTCTGAGTTTGAGGCCAGCCTGGTCTACAAAGCAGATTCCAGGATAATCAAGTTATGCAGAGAAACCCTGTCTTAAAAAAAAAAATACAGATACATCACTAGGTTTTGTGGGGGCCACTGACAGTTTATGGATCTAAGTCGCTCTTAGGGAAAACCGGACCCTCTATGCTGGCCACCTGAGTTCAGCTTGGTGGTCCCACTCAAAGCCCATGGGTAGATGTGGAGATGTTTGTCTGCTGGCTAGTGGAGGAACTAGTTAAGGAGTGCAGAAGGAAAGCATAGGGATTCTAGTAGTCCTGGTTATTGTGGTTTGAATAAGAATGCCCTCCCGTGGGCTTATATACCTGAATGCTTAGTCATCAGGGAGTGGCACTACTTGAGAGGAATTAGGAGGTGTGGCTTTGGAGGAGGTATGTCACTGGGGTGGGCTTTAGGGTTTCAACAACTCTAACCAGGCCCAGTGACTTTCTCTTCCTGCTGTTGCCTGTGGATCTGGATGTAGAAACTCAACTCCTTCTCCAGCACCATGTCTGCCTGTATGTCACCATGCTTTCACCCATGCTGATAATGGACTAAACTTTTGAAACAGAGTCTCAATTAAATGCTTTATTAAGAGTTGCTGAGGTCATGGTGTCTCTTCACAGCAATAGAACACTGATTAAGACACTGCCCTTGCTTTGTAACTTTTTTTTTTTGGTTTTTTAACGAGACAGGGTTTCTCTGTATTGTTTTGGAGGCTATCGGTCCAGCCCAGCCTCGAACTCACAAGAGATCCGCCTGCCTCTGCCTCCCGAGTGCTGGGATTAAAGGCGTGCGCCACCACCGTTTGTAGCTTTCTTTATACACTGGTTAGAGGGCTGTGGGCCAAGACATCTGCTGAAACATGAAATGAATTTGGCATCCAAAGAGCATCCCTCCATCCTTGGCCATATTTTAGAAAAGTGCTGGGGCGTAAGGTACCGTCAGACTAAGGTGTAGGTTTCCAGACCCAGCTTCTTTGTTCTGAAACCAAAGACTTTGCCCTGAGGACAGGATATGAAATGGTATAAGTAAAAGAATGTCTGACTCGGCATCCTTTTTTTTTTTCAGCAGCTTGACACCCTAGGTCCTAAAGCAGGGTTGGGTGCTCTAGCCAACATAAGAACCTTAAGGCCTAGGGTTCCCCGGTATGATTTCTAATGAGAATTGGCAAGGGACATTGACAGCAACCAAGGAAGGCAGCATGAGAAGAAAGTGGTTGCCTGTCTGACTCTCTAGGGCCACAGATGGTTCCTCTCCCAGCTCATCCTAAATAGTCAGTGTCCAAGAACTCCAAAGTGGAAACCTCAGATTATTCCAGCCACCTCCCTGTGCCACCCATCTCCCACCCCTCTACTTTCTGGTCCCCACACCCTCGTTCTTCATATGCTCAGTGGTTTTTACTGGGCAGCACTGGAAGTGTTCCAAAGCCAGCTCATTAAGGATGGGTGGGACAAGAAAGGACCAACAACAGCATTAGGAGGTAGGTCAGGCCCCCCTTACAGTGATAGGACAGGGTTGGTCCTGCTTGATCACAAACACCAGAACTGACACAGGACAAACCCACCAGATGGCTGGTACTAAACAAGAAACTTTCAGATAGGTCTTTGGGGTCCTTGTCCTTACTGCTGGGTGCAGAAGGGCACCATTGGTCAGGGTGCCTATATCCAAACAGTATGAGACCAGGTCTACATCCAGCCCCTAAAAGATGGGGCAAAATGCCAAACCCAGTGATACCCCATACCCCAGAGTCTACCTGTTCCTTTGTAGCACCCATGTACACCTTACTTGTGGGGAAACCAGTTTCTACTCAGCAAACAGCTGAGACCTCAGGAGGAATTCTGGCCATAGGGCAGCCAGTACCAAATGAGAATATGCAGCCAGCCTCTCATATTCATTGTTTGGAAAATAGCAGAATGGTCAGCAGAGATGACCAGCACTAGGCAAGCAGAGATGAGGGGTGGGCCTAAGACTGAAACTAAAAAAGGGCCTGGTCTTAAAAGACCCCCACACACTAGCCATACCTTGTCTCCCAACAGTGCATCATCAGGGACTTGCTTGGTGGTGAGGACTGTAGTTAGGGTAGGCTTGGGAGTACTACTGAGAGGCTATGACCTCTTTGCTAAGGATGGAATTAGTAAGCTAACCCTAGGGCTGTAGGGCCCAGAGTAAGGAGATAGAAAATAAGGTTGGCCTTATGGACACATGCTAAAACAAATGCATACACATGCTCAATGATAGTAGTATGTTGGTGTGCACATCCACACATTGACTTGCTTGGTGATTTCTATCACTTGCCTAGAATCAAGATAGACCCCACTTACTGCCCTTAACAGTGTACTCCAAGTTCTTCCTGTCTGGCTGGAGCTAGTCCCTCTGTCAGCAGGGAGTTGACTCCCCTGAGGTCAGGCCTGGGAGAAGGCCAGGGCTGTGAGAAACCTGATAGATTCCTAAGGCCTCACAGCATACTTGCCTCTGGACATTGACTGTTCACTGGGTAGCCTTGGTGACCTCAGAGCTTGAATATTCCCAGGAGCCCTCTGAAGATTGTTCCCAGAACATCTGAGACTCCAGCTTCCTAAAGGCAGCATGTGACACAGAGTCATACTCTGCACAGAGCACTTGGACTGGGTTCTTAGCAGCTTTTCCTCCTTAGCTCCCTCATACCTTCTACAATCCTGGGCCCTTCAAAGGACTCCATTTCCCTCCTCTCTGGACCTCTATTTTACCTTGAGCCTGTAATTAATTACCTGGGCCCCATTTTTGATTACTAGTATTCATGAAATTAGGCAGGAGAGCCTCAATCCTTCCAGAGCTCAGACCCTTTCCTCTGATAGGTTCCCACAACCCCCCCATGTCTTAGCTCCCTTCAAAGTTGGCTTTGATTGTAAAGATATCTAGGAGCAAAATTGTGGCAGTTTCTGGGGATCTGTACCATTGGGTGGTCCGTGGGTACTTTCAGGTAGTTGAATACCTAAGGGCAGCAATTCCTTCCACCATGATGAAGTCCCTCCTAGAAACATACCCTTCCCACAGGCCTATGTGAGAGCTCCCATCTCTGGACCCCACAATTCACTGTGCTTGGCCAGAAGAAAACTAAACCTCAGGGACAGGGAAGAACCTGGCCTGACCAAAGTGGGCCAGGAAGAGAAAAGACCACTGGTCAGCAAGAATATCTCAACCCAGTGGACCTGGGGCAGGCCGGCAGTGCCTATGCTACTGCTCAGTCTCCAGTCCATCCCACTCCAGTGTGGCACTCCCTTCCCCAACCCTAGATGCTCCTTGCCAACCAACTCCTTTGAACCACACTTTCTTCTGTGTCACCTGATCCAAGTTTCTTGAGATTTCATCTTTCTAAGAACACCTACAGGCTAGGGGCTTCCTTCCTGAAGTGTGGAACAAATGGTGCCCAAGCAGGTACCCATAATATACAGTAGCCAGCCTGGGTCTTTATTATTATTATTTATTGATTTTTTTTTCAAGACAGGGTTTCTTTGTGAGCCTTGGCTGTTCTGGGACTAGCTCTGTAGACCAGGCTGGCCTCAAACTCAGAATTCCATCTGCCTCTGCCTTCCAAGTTTAAATTAAGGGATTAAAGGTATGTACACTTCCTCCTAATATTCTTAACTTGACCCACCATCTATGCTGTTGCAAATTGGACTGTGTCTGAGACTAATCTCATTGAAGGGTCTCTTCTGAGTACACTTGGGATCAGGTGGGCACACTTGCTTTCCAAAGGAGAGGGGCTTTGTCTGAGTACCTGAGCATCTGCTCTCAGTCTGGAGTCCTAAGATCAGAGGCCTGTTCTGATCCTAGACCCATCCTGCAACCATTCCCCTTGCTCCCCACCCATTCAGGGCCTGCTGGAGAGAGACCAGCCAATCTCTGGTGTTCAGAGTGTTCAGGGCCACACCCCCAGATGCCATTACCTGGAGGGTATAAATAAACCTGCTTCAAAGCTCATGGCCTGAGAATTCACACTGTCTCCGTCAGCCTGCTCCTGGATGAACACATACATCCTACCTTCCATTCCCACATATATACAGAAGAGGCGCGCCAGCTAGACCGGTACCACAAGAAGGCTGTTGACTACTGGCCTGAGGAGGAACACCTGCCAGGTGGAGCAGAAGCTTGGCTGGACCTGGAGAGGGGGAGCCAAGCTCTGCTAGAGCTGGTCAGCCTAGAAACACAGAGCTCTGCTGTGGCTGGTGAAGAGGATCATGCCCAGGAACTGCTGACTCCCAGCTACCAGGTAAGACCAGCTCAGCCTGTACTCACCTTTCACCTATGCAGTCTCAGGGTGAGGTCCCTTCATGGAAGGTGAGGCCTTATGCCACAGAACCAGTCCTATGAGCAGCACAGGTCAGGGGAGGATAGACCTTGTCAGACATTGTCAAGACTACTGCTGCATCCAGGAAGTGGTGATATTGAATGCCAGAAGGTTGGGGCCCTCGTGATGTCACAGTGATGTCAGATGATTCACATAGACCCGGTGATGATTCAGCAATCGTTGAGCCATTCTTCTTACTCACCCACTTGGGCTTGACTAGTGAGGCAGGGAGAGGGGTCATCTCTTCTCTGGCTGCTGGACCTCATGGGTTATAAGGTCAAGGCTTTTGTGGTGAAATACTCTTCTCTGCTCAGGATGCCCATGGATCTTGAAGTGGCACCCTGGCCTGTGGGAGGTCAGTGTGTTTCTAGAATTGCTCTCAGAGAAGTAGTATGAGCTGTCAAAGAAGGCCTGGATCTTCTATATCCCACCTTCTTTACAGGCAACTGTATGACTCTTGATATTGACAGAACAGGGCAGGTGTGTGTGTGTGTGTGTGTGTGTGTGTGTGTGTGTGTGTGTATGTGTGTGTGTGTGTGTGTGTGTGTGTGTGTATGCGCATGCATGCGTACGTGCCTGTCTGCCTGCCTGCACAAGTGCATACGTGGGCATGTCTGAGGCAGCTTCACTCCTCTGACCACTGGCTAAGGACCATTTTTAGCCCCTGGCCTCTGGCATTTGTGTCTATCCCTACCAAACAAGCTGGCCCCAGATTCCAGGATACAGCTGTTAGAAAACTTCTCAGGCCCCTACTGAGGCCCTCCCTGTTTCTCAGAGCTTTGTGGACCCAGCTGCTCTTTCAAAGACCCCAGAATCCTTACATATCTGTTGGCAACTCAGATGTATGCCATACAAATCAAGGATCCACAGTGAGATTGAGTTCAAACTCCTTCCACCTGTTCTGGAGCCACAGGTAGCTCATGAACCTGCCAGGGCCCAGCTTCTAATTGGCTCTGGTCCAGAAGACCCTAGACAAATCACTCCATCTTGGAGATACTTTCTCCATATAGAGCTGTTAGTATTCTATGGCATGGGTTCAGCCTTGCAGAGCACAGACATAAATAGCAGTGGCAGTGGGCCACTCTCATCGTCAGCATGGGTAAGGATGGGCAACAGGTGTCCAGAATCATGTTGACAACCCCTAGCACATGGCCTCTATTCTTGAAACCCATATACACTGTCCATGCCTGGAGTACCATGGGATTGTTGACCTTGTAATGACTGCAAGAGGAAAGGTTACAGTTTGTCCATGGGTGGGATTTTGGAGGTACTTATAGGTGGATAGTGTCTGTCATTGGAATCTTTGGGTCTGATTCTGGGGAAGAGAAGAGGAGGTATGACAGCCTGGCTTAACAGAAAAAGCAGCTCATGATGGCCTGTCTCTGTTCCACAGCTCAGAATCATGTCATCAAGCCAGCGGGTGTGGCAGACAGCTATGCCACCCCATCGCCAGAGCAGTTCCACAGCCACAGTGCCCAGGTCTCCTGGCTCAGTTGGCAGCCCCAGATCCCCTAATACTCCTGGCTCAGAGAAGGTGGCCTCTCCACTGGAGTGTTCCATCTGTTTCTCAGGCTATGACAACATCTTCAAGACGCCCAAGGAGCTCTCCTGTACTCATGTCTTCTGCCTTGAGTGTTTGGCTAGGCTGGCAGCTGCCCAGCCTGCAGGCCGTCCTGGCAGAGAAGCTGTGCCCTGCCCATTCTGCCGGCAGCCTACAACTGTACCTGCTGCCGGAGCTCCTGCACTGCGCACCAGTCGTCAGCTACAGGCCAAGATGCCAGTGCACCTACAGAAGGAGGAGCCTGTGTGGCTTGAGGGCACCAAACTGTGTTGCCGCCCCTTGCCCACCACTTCTGGTCAAGAGGCCAGTGACTTTGTGTGTGTGGATGTAGGCCTGAGAAAACCAGCTGAGCCCACCCTACCTGCACCTGTCCAGGACCCTGAACCCAGCCAAAGCTATCTGGCCCGCTGTTGGGCGCGATTTGGAGACTGGCGTCGTGTAGCACTGGTGTCTGTGCTGTTGCTGATGCTATTTTGTGTGGTACTCTGGCCTGTGCAGTGTGCACTCAAAACTGGAAATCTGCGCTGCATTAACCGGCCACCTGTAGCCACTGCCACTGTCAATCCCATTACCAATGCCCTCTTTCTTGGAACTCTAGCCAACTAGGGTCAACACTTGGGCCAGGCCAGCTATCCCACTTGCTCCATGGATGGATCCTGACCTACACAGGTCAAGAACACAGCTTTGGAAGTTTGTTCCCCAGAACCAAGGACACATATGTGACCCTCACTCTCTAGGGCTAGGTGCCAATGGGGACAAAAGGGTCTTCAAAACCTCTAAGAAGGCCGGGCGTTGGTGGCGGACACCTTTAATCCCAGCACTCGGGAGGCAGAGGCAGGCGGATCTCTGTGAGTTCAAGGCCAGCTTGGTCTACAGAGCGAGTTCCAGGACAGCCTCCAAAACAATACAGAGAAACTCTGTCTCGAAAAACCAAAAAAAAAAAAAAAAAAAAAAAAAAACCCTCTAAGAAATACAGGCTTCTAAGAGTCCCAGAAACTGTGCTCTGACCCTGTCATACAGATGGGGAAAGGAACCCAGGAATGTCTGGTCAGGCCCCTGACCTTGACCTTGCTGAACACACTGAATTGCCAAAAAGGCAGGAATTTGCCATCCTTTTTTTATTAATTAAATTTATTCATTTATTTTACATCCTGACCCAACCCCCCCCTTTCTTTCATACGACATTTTACCAGGATCCCTCCTTACTCTGGTGGGGATGCTGAGCAGCTAGTTCTCTTAATAAGAGTAAAAATGAAAAAGCAGAACTCCTCTGCCCATGCTACAGCAGCAACTTCCCAGCTGTCTCTGGCCATTATGAATGGTACATTTTAAAATAAATTCTTTTGTATGAATATTGTTTCTCTGTGTTCCCTCTCTCCATCCCCCACCATTCAGTTTGTCCTGTTAGAAAGTCTCCCACTCCACATCCCTACAACCCAGCCTCTACCCAGGCATCCTGACTGGATCATAGTAGGACTGAGTTGGGACAGCTAGGGAGGTGGGCAGGAACAAACATTCATCTTTCCTGACTTAGAAGGGCGAAGACTTGGCTGCTACCCAACACCATGAAACTGAGAACTAGTAGGTGGCCTGAAAATTTATAGACCATAGGATCTTTCCAGCAGACCCCCCAGACTTCTTTGGGTCAGCCTGGATACTGAAACAACAAAGTTTAATGTCATGAGTATCTCAGCCTACCTCACAGCCATCCAGGTTCTGCCATTAGCCCTAGAAATCCTATATTACCAGGTATGAGTATGACCAGGAGAGTCTCAGTCTCCTCACCTTTCACCCCAAAGCCCAGGTACTTCCTGTTCTAACCAGCTGTGCCTTTGACTAGGGCAAGGGGGAAGTTTAGGGAAGTCCTAGAGAATCTGGGTGCAGCTACTGGCGGGGGGAGCGGTCGAGGGACACTCGACACCCAATGCACCCCTGGCTCTGGTGCCAATAGATAAATAACTGAGAACTTTACTGAAGTTGTCACAAAGCCACAGTCCACCTGTGATGGGGAATGTTTCTTCCATGTCCAATGGGTTAGTGACATTGCATCCTGTCACACAGTGATGCACACATGTGGAACCACACCCATGCCACTGGGAGGGCCAAGCGTGTGAGAATGCCTATGTGCTCACATGAGCATCTCACATGTGTGGTCATTCCACAAGCCTTATCCACTGTGACCAACACAATGCTGAATCATCACAAGGACGAGATCCCAGACCACCCTGAAGCATGTAGGGTGAAAGACAGGATACAAGGAAACTGGATTAAAGTACAAATCAAATTAGGCTCAGACTCCCTATCCTTGTCGCTAAGGTCACACATAGGGCACACAGTGTCTGGAATTGTGGCACGCACAGGTCGACTCGCACAGGTTCACATGTAGTCGCTTGTTAGAATCATGAGACCACATTTCAGCTGGGTGCCAGGAACCAGGCCAGGACACGGGGATCTCCAAATGCTCCTCCCGCTGCTGGAACCCAGGCTTATCTGGACTAAGGAGCAGACTCCTAGGATGCCTTCCACAACTCCAATCATGGCCAGTCAGTAAGGGGCACCCCGGGGTTCCCTCGCCACCTGTAAAGCCCAGGTTCTTCTGGTACCGGGTCCTGATCCCCGTCGAAACTCCCCAAGAACCCAAGATGTCGCGGGCCGCAGGTACCACTAAGGTTGGGGGCTGTGACTGACCCCAAGCCACCATTCAAATATTCTCTCGCTCCTTCCAGTGTCCACTCTGTGGAAAGGACCTGGAGCTACTTCACCTTTGCATGCTGGTGCCTCTCACTCCCGACCTATTCACACAGTTTCAACTTCTGGCATTGGGTTACCGCTGCGGCATCAATTTGCAAGCCTTCCTGAGCCAGCCTAAATCTGAACTGGCTCTGGCGCTACTGGTGGTGGTGGCCGTTGCTCGGCACCAACTGGATCGTTATTCCAGAAGTCAATGTCTCAGTCCATCAGGGGGAATAGAGAGCTGGGGGGGGAGGGGAGCGGCGGTGGCAAGGGCAGGCTAGGTGGGCGTGGCCTAAACGGTGACTCAAAGTGAGGCAAAGAGGAACGGGGTGCCTGGGTGGGGTCGGGGAGGTGGCGGAACCCAGAGAGAAAGGTGGCACTTTGGGGAAGTACCCAGCGGACAAAGGTGAATCCGGAGGCGGAAGAGGGGAGAGGCCTCTGATTAGTAGGGGTTACGCTGTGCGGCTCAAGAGTCTGCATTTTAGATGATGCTGTTGGTGCGTCTGATACCCGTCCTGTGAGGGCCACTGGCAGCTTGTTGGATATATATGGATCCCGGTGGCCCATTCCCCCGATCACATCTGAGGTACACTGCACACTACTTCTGGCTTTGGCTCGTAGCTCTGAACCAGGTTCATCTCCTCCAGAAAGCTTAGGTGGACTTCTCCAGCCTTAGTGGAGCCCGCTGAAGTACTACTTAGCGGTGCTTCGAAGTACCTGGGCAGTGAGCTGGAGCCCCGTGCTTGGTTGTGGAGTTCACGGATGAGAAACAGGCATCGCTGGGACCCTCGTGGGGGTGGACACGTAGATGAGTCAGAAGTGATCACTTAGAGGGACTGATGAAGGATCAGAATCAAACACCAGAGGCAAGGAAATTTGCTCAGAGTGGGACAGAGATCCCAAGTGTTTTAGGTACCCAGGAAAGAAAGGAAGGGCAAGACCGGTAACATGGAGTTCTATTTGGGAAAAGCCACTCTTTTTTTTTTGTTTGTTTGTTTGTTTTTTCGAGACACGGTTTCTCTGTGGCTTTGGAGGCTGTCCTGGAGCTCACTTTGTAGACCAGGCTGGCCTCGAACTCACAGAGATGCACCTGCCTCTGCCTCTGGGAAAAGCCACTCTTAGGGACTTCTAAGGAACTACACTTTCCTCTGCTTCCACCCACGCTGCAGGTGGAGAAAATTTGTGCCTGGAAAAGAAATAGGTAACTCTGAGCCGGGCGTTGGTGGTGCACGCCTTTAATCCCAGCACTTGGGAGGCAGAGGCAGGTGGATGTCTGTGAGTTCGAGGCCAGCCTGGTCTACAAAGCGAGTTCCAGGACAGCCTCCAAGACAATACAGAGAAACTCTGTCTTGAAAAACCAAAAAGAAAAAAAAAAGTAACTCTGAATACAGAAAAGATACCAAAGCTGATTTGGGTCAGAAAGAACATGAGTGGGAGTGTAGGTGAAACTGCTCTGGAGCCACGGAGGAGGAGACCCAGGTCTAAGAACATGGGTGTCTTATTTTGACTTCTATTTCAGTGATCAAACACCATGACAAAAAGCAACTTAGGGAGAAAAGGGTTTATTTCAGTTTACAGTTTATGGTGCATTATGAAGGGAAGTCAGGTCAGGAACTCAAGGCAGGAACCTGGCAGCAGGAATAGCACAGACCATGGTTGGAATGCTGCTTACTTGCTTACTCGACTTTTCCTTCCTTCCTCCCTCCCTCCCTTCCTTCCTTCCTTCCTCCCTCCCTCCCTCCCTCCCTCCCTCCCTCCCTCCCTCCCTCCCTCCCTCCCTCCCTCCCTCCCTGCCTGCCTGCCTGCCTTTCCTTCTCTTCTTGTTTTTTCAGGACAGTTTCTTTGTGTAGCCTTGGCTATCCTGGAACTCAGAGATCCGCCTGCCTCTGCCTCCCAAGTGCTGGGATTAAAGGCGTGTGCCACCACCATCCAGCTGTTAGCTTGCTTTCCTATGTCACTCTGGACCACCTGTCCAGGAACAGCACCACCCAAAGTGACCAAGGCCCTCTCACATCAATCATTAATCAGGAAAATGTTCCCACAGACTTACCTACTGGTGAATTTGGTGGGGAGCTATAGGATAAAAGATCCAAGGAAAGAACACCCTAATCCTGACTTGACCCCAAGTCAGAGTCCAGGGTCAAGAAAAAGAATCCTACCAATTCCTGAGTTTACCCCAAGATCAGGCAACAAAAACCCCACCAATCCCAAGATATTCCAGAAAGCCCTGCCCCCGCCCCCAGAAACCCCACATAAAGCCTACCTTCTGTTCAGTTCACTGCTGCTTCTCACTGGAGCAGAGACAGCCACTCTCCTGTGTTTTTCCTCCCAATAAATCTCTCCCCTCAGAGCTATAACAATTACAGGAGCATTTGAGCATTTACTCAATTAAGGTGCCCTCCTCCCAAATGAATGTAGCTTGTGTCAGTTGACAAAAAAAAAAAGTAGCCAGCATACATGGTTTCTGTGAACTGAGAGAGCTTAGGCTTAGATTGTGCTAAATATGTTAAGGGACGTGGAAGCCATCAAATCCAGTGGAGTTGGATTGGTGACTCTTAGCTTGGGGCTTCCTCATTCACAGCATAGACTTGAGGATTCTGACCACACTGACCCTAACCCTAACCCACCAGGCTCACTTGGTCATCACATACCCTCAGTTCCTTCTGAGCCCTGGATCTAGTACTCAGCCATGTTGTGCAGTTCTGGCCATTATTGGAAGCACTTGTTCTAGGAGACAGTGTTTTACATAGGCTTGCCCATATGTTCTACAAAGCTACACATACATATGTAGTTACCATTTCTCAGGGCCCTCCTTTATCCCTAGAAGCAAGGAGGAAGGGAGCTGGCATTCTTGCTGCCATAGTGTCTGTCTGAACAGATGGAGTCTTCAGCACGGCCCCATTGATACTTCATCTCCACTTATCCGGCATCCTTGGGCCCCAGTCCCACCCCCAGAGTCCAAGGTGGGCACTGCTGAAGGACCATCTCCAGTTTTTCTCAGAAGCCCCATGGGGCCTTCCCACTAGGCTCCTTAGGCTGATGGAGCTCCCTCATACCTCATGGCCTTAGGAGGCTAGCAGGGAGAGACTGTGCAAGCTAGGAAGAACCTCCATAGTGATGGGAAAAATGAAAGTTGTTAATCCCTAAGGTGAACTCAGAGTCCTGTGTCTCTG